TGAAGGAGCCGGCCTGGGGCGGCCACAGCGCGGGGGCTGTGCCCTGAGCTGGCGCTGCTGGGGTACCGCGAGTCCTCAGGGCACCTCCGGGACCCTCGTGACAGGAGACATGGAGAGGATGGAGCGTGTCTGGAGAAGGGAACGGAGCTGGGAAAGGGCTGGAGCACCAGGAGAGGCTGAGGGAGCTGGGAAGGGGCTGGGGAATTCCTGAGAGAGATGGGAAAGGGGCTCAGCCTGGAGCAGAGGAGGATCAGGAGGGACCTTCTGGCTCTGCACAAGTCCCTGGCAGGAGGGGACAGCCGGGGGAGTCTCTGCTCACAGGGAACAGGGATAGGAGGAGAGGGAACAGCCAGCCTCAAGTTGTGATGAATTTCTCCATGGAAAGGGTTGTCCATCGCTGGCACAGGCTTCCAGGACAGTGGTGGAGTCCCCATCCTTGGAAAGATTTAAACACCATTTAGATGTGGCATATGGTGACATAGGGCAGTGATGGCTTTGGCAGACTCCATGTTCATAGAGGGCCTTTCCAACCTAAACAATTCCCTGATTCAATAAAAAACATTTGCTGTGACTGACACAAGTTACCCAATACAATTATCCACGGTATCACTTTGTTCCTTTACAGGTATTTTAGCTCACAATATTTCTCCCTCCCTTCCCTGTAGGCCCAGCACAGGTTCTTCTGTATCTCCAGTATTCCAGAGTCTCCCACTTAAGATTTTCTTGCCACAAAACATCCATCAAATACATCTAACTCTGAATTGGTCCTGCAAGCACAGGATGTTCTTCAGGACTGTTTTTACACAATCACAGCATCCCAGAATGTTTTGGATGTGAAGAGACTTTAAAACTCATCTCATCCCATCCCCTGACATTGCCAGGGACACTTTCCGCTACCCCAGGTGGCTCCAAGTTTCATCCAACCTGATCTTGGACACTTCCAGGAATCCAGGGACAGACACAGTTCCAGGATTGTGGGGTAGCTGCCTTCTCTCTAGATGGAAAATACCTGCTATTTCATTCAAACACTCATCTCCATCCCTTCAAAGTGCAGCTTGAAGCCACAGAAGGCTCACAAAGCAACTTTAGAATTTGATCGAAAGACTGCAGGGATTTAAAGACAGACAGAAAATGTCAGCTATTTTCTATAGCCCATTCTCAACTGCATAATTTATAATCGCTCCTCATTGGGGAGTGAGCTCATGGGTGAAGCTGCTGCTACTCTCTTCAGACAAAGAGCTGCCATCTGACAGGTCTCAGATATTTTGGCAGGAAATATGATTCATTTCTCGTCGCAGGCATGCAGCTAGGTGCAGATTATAAGCCCAATTCTTACATAAGTACCTTCATTTGCTAAAATTACTGCTTATTCTCCTTCTAAGAAAACCTGATCTTGCCATTCAGCTCCTGTCTTGCCACATGAAGGAAGGTGCACCTGGAGAAGGGATGAAGGGATGTGCCCCTAGTCCAAAAATAGTTTTCTCTAAAGCTATGACCAAACAGGGAATGTAAAGCACACTCCTACAGCATCCTGCTGGATTTGGGGGCTCTCTTAGGTTGCCTGGAGCCTCCCACCAGAGATATAAAAGTATTCCAGCATGAGCTGCAGCCTTGTGTTTCACTGAGCCATCTGGAGCTCTGCAAGCCATGCCCAGATCTTTGTCTCCATCACCTTCCGTGGCTTTGCTGGACACCACAGCGGCTGGAGAGCAACTGGAGAGAGCCCAGTGGTCCAGGATCAGCCAGCATGGATCTACCTGGATGCAAGGAATTGTTTTGTTACACTGACAAACAGCTCATTTTCATGTCTGTCACTGCTCCACTGGCAAAATCCCATCTCCTGAGACAGCACATTGCAGCTCTACCTGACCTAGAGATCTATAGATAGAGTTTGTCTGCTTCCCATGTGTTTTTTTTACCTTTTCCAAATGCTGACTCCTGCATTTGAACCACCATCCCAATGCACCATCAGTTCATTGCCTCATTTTAGGAGTTCAGGACAGGTGCTGATCTCTATGCCACCACTGAGAGAATACCTGGAATACCACTCAGGCTGGTTTAGGTTGGATATCAGGGAAAGGTTCTTCCCCCAGAGGGAGCTGGTCCCCAGGCTCCCCAGGGAATGGTGACATTCCCAAGGCTGCTGGAGCTCCAGGAGTGTTTGGACAGCGCTGCCAGGGATGCCCAGGCTGGGGTTGTTGGGGTGTCTGTGCAGGACCAGCAGTTGGACTGGATGATTCTTGTGGGTCTCTTCTAATTCAGGAGATTCTGTGATTAAATAGTACCAGTTTATCAATGTGAGCAATTAACATCTTCCCTCCTAGATCCAACAGAGGAAGTGTATGCCCTACTGTCACAAGAAAATCTTTACAATTACTTTCTGATGCCCTTTCAGAAGATGCTAAAGTGCACATTTTTCCCAGGTTCTACTCTACTGTTTCTGAAGAGCTGTAGCTGTTTTATTTTGAATTCCATTAATTCTAGCCGGACACAGAGTTCAGTCACAGAACTGACTCAGTTGTTGATAAAACAGTAAGAACTGGAACTGTCCAACTGTTTCATTAATATCAGCTACTATTTCATAGCTGCTGTTTCTGGCAGGAGCGTGGTTTGTCTCACCTTCAAAGAGACAGGGAGTTCTGTTGTGCTTATCACAGAATCCACACGATCATGGAATAGTTTGGGCTGGAAGGGACATTAAATCCCATCCCATTCCACCCCTGCCATGGGCAGGGACACCTTCCACTATCCCAGGTTTCTCCAAGCCCTGTCCAGCCTGGCCTTGGACACTTCCAGGGACCCAGGGGCAGCCACAGCTTCTCTGGGTACCTGTGCCAGGGCCTCACCACCCTCACAAGGAAGAATTCCTTCCCGATATCCCATCCATCCCTACCTTCTAGCAGTTCGAAGCCATTCCCCCTTGTCCATCACTCCATGCCCTTGCCCGAAGCCTTAAACCCCGTCCCGCTTTGGGATCCAGCTCCTCCTTCCCTCCTTCCCTGTGGTTTGCGTTTAGCTCTCCTATTCTCGGTGCTTCTTTCCTCCTCTCGCGGACATTATTCACATCCTCCCGCATTATTCACATCCTCCCGCACGGTTTATTCCGCCTCACACCTCAGCCCGGCACTGCTGCCCGGGACAGGGGGCAGCGCGGAGCTCCCCGTCCGCTCCCATCCCGACCCGCGCCGGGTGCCGCCCCACACTTTGGACCCTCCTCGCTTCCCGTCCGCCCCAGGGGAGCGACCGGCGGCGG